CTCTCTCTCTCTCTCTCTCTCTCTCTCTCTCTCTCTCTCTCTCTCTCTCTCGCACACGCACACACACACACACACACACACACACACACACACACACACACACACACACACATACGCGCGCGTCCGCGCGCACAAAAGCAAACAAGCAAATAAACAAACGCGTACTCTACTATCAAACAAGCAAATAAACAAACGCGTACTCTACTATTTATTTCGATCTTGCGGGAGGTCGGACATGGCCGATGTTGGATTTTCTGTAACTGGTGGGCTATACCCCTGAGTCCCTGACGCCTGCCTCGTGACATTCTTCAGAGCCAGAGAGCACAATTAGAAGCCTCTACAATGTGCACACCCTTTGCCCTAAGATAATTATAAATATATGGTCAGTCACAGTACGCTCTATTAGTCAGTCATGGAAGCTCCTTTGCACCTCAGCTCCCCACCATTTCAGCGGACCGCATAATTCACACCCTATATATATCCAAGGTGGAAGCTCTTGAACCCTAAACCTTGAAAGCCGCTTGTTTGATCTCATGAAAAATATTGACACCACCCTTCCCATGCCATTCGCCCCCTGCCCAATCCCCTCATCAACGGCAATGGGCTTACCGATCGCGTTGACGATCCGTGACGCGGACGTGCCTAGTACCGACTCTTTCTCAGTGACGAAGGTTTTTTTTTTTTTTTTTTTTTTTTCCCTCCCTTAAAACTACGCTATATTCTTCTCTCAAATTGTTCATCATCTTTCAAATTCTTTCTATTCACCTTTGGCACCTACCTACCACTACTCCTGACGCTTATACAGGGGAGTGACCAAGTTTAGCACACACAAGTGACACAACACACACACAAAAAAAAAAGCTGAACAGGGATTTCATAACAAAAAGAAAAACAGAACAGGGATTCTTAGGGAAGAGACTCAGAAGAACTACAATTCGCTGAACCCACTCTCCGCGCTCTCCGCCATTCGTTTTCCCCTCCTGGGCTATAGCTTGTCACTGGTTCGATCTGTCGTGATCGTGATCCGATAACCCTTCCATAACTGCTATTCGCAGGTATGTCGATTACTTGCAATTCTGGACCAGGGGAGCTGAACCTGTCAGAGTCTTCCCGGCAAGGCATACGTAAGCCACAGCAACACCAGGCGATCCAGAGAGCCACCGCGGCACTGAGCAGCGGAAAAATGACGGCGAGAGAGATAAGAATGGGTGTGAGGTCTGCGAGCTTCGAGGGAGCGCGGGAGCGGGAGCGGGAGCTCTGCGAAGAGCTAGTACCGGGGACAGCTCCGCGGCTGCTGCTAGCCGCTGCGGAGGAAGGTGGGGCGGAAGTGGAAGACGAAAGGGGTGGAGTTATAACAGGAAGCGATGGAGGTGGAGGTGGTGCGGGAGGTGATGATGTAGGGATAGACGGTGGTACATATGGAGGAGGACTGGATGGAGAAGGAACGACAGGGCCGTGGCTGCTGCTGCTGCTGCTAGCCGCTGCCGACGAGGGCGGGGGAGGACTGGAAGACGAAACGGGTGGAGTTACAACAGGAAGCGATGGAGGTGGAGCGTGAGATGATGATGTAGGGATAGACGGTGGTACATACGGAGGAGGACTGGATGAAGAAGAGGTAACGGGAGCGAGAGGAGGAGGAGGAATGGGCGATGGAGGAGGACCAGAAGAAGAAAGCGACGACGGTTCCGACGGAATGTTTGGGGGGGATGGCGGCGTGGGGTGTGATGACGGTGGAGGAGGAGGAATTGGGGTAGGAGAACAAGAAGGCAAGGCTGTCTTGTTTATTTCGAATTGGTAGATAGCCGTGCCTTGACCGCCGACGTAGAGATACTTTTCGTCCGCCGACATCGCTAGGCCGAACAAGAGCTTCAATTTCGGATCGTAGGCATAGGGAGAGCTGCTCTTACCTGCTAAGATGCGGGTGCTCTTCACCGGCCCCCCACTGTTTTCGAAGCTGATTAGTCGGATTCTCCCGATGTGGCACTCCGTGACAAACAAGTGGCACCCGTCGAAGGTCAACGCCAGTCCCCGGGGGCACTCCAAGTCCAAGAGCGCCAGGGAAGATCCGCTGTCGTCGCCGCCGATTCTCTCTATCTCTCCGGTTGAGCTCCACACGCGGTAGATCGCACCGGCCAAACAGTCGGCAACGTACATCAGCTGGCCATCAGCAGAGAAGGCTTGCTGGCTCACGCGAACCTCCCTGAAAACCAACTCGCTGGGGGCGCTCGCTTGAACCGACCCAATTTTCACCGGTCGCACCGTATAGACATCATTCTCGTTCATGGGGAGTGGCAACTTGAAGATGGAAGAGACTGTTGAGAAGTAAAGAAAGGGCTGTGACGGATGCGCAGCAAGACTTAGAATAAGGAAGGTAGAGACATGATCCCGAAGATAGATTAAGGTGAAAGGGGCTCCGTACGAGGCTAACCTGAAAGGTCGCAACCAGGAGTAGCCGGAATCGGCCATGAGGAGGAATTTGCCTCGCATGCCGTAGCGCTCCATGTCCACGACGGTGAAAGCTAGTGTGTCGGAGAAGGGACCGGCGAAGCTGCTGACATTGACGCCACCGGATGCGTTTCGCAAACTCCACACCGCGTTCTCCAGTAGAAAGAAGAGTGATGCGTCCGTGGGAGACGGTTGCACTTCTTGCACTTCCCCGCCAGGGCTGGTCTTCACGCCGGCAGAGGAGAGCAGATCGCCTCCGAACGCTACCACGTCCGTGTCGACGAACGGGAACAACAGACCACTGTCATGCACATCCTCAAACAGGCGAGCATTCGGCTCCAGGAGGCGAGGCTCCGCCGGTCCACCTTTGGGTGCAATGTGCCGAACCTTTCGCTCAGGGACGTCGTTGACTGCACCAGGCCCTCGCTGCTGTGCTGTTTGCATCGAATGGGCACGTCGTCCCTGGGTAGTATCGTCAGACAGGCTATCCCGTTGGTCGAGGGTTTGAAAGAACCACTCGGCAAAGGACTCAGGCGGGTCCTTCCCTTCCTCCAGCACATGCTCCAGCTGAGTGTCGCTGATCTTCATCCCGTTGCTTCTTTCCGTAATGGTCTCGATCCCATCACGTCCTTTCCTCAACCCCGGCGGGGCCTCGTCCTGCTGATCGTCGGAGCCTACCGGAGGAGGACGAGACGCAAAAGGATTGCCCTCCACCTCCACGGTGGTTGGACCACGAGGAGCGTCCTCCGTATCTTCAAGCACGCGACTGTACCGGTGAAAGAGAGTCTGACGAGCCTCTTGCGCTCCACGTTGGGATCCCAGTTGCTGGAGCGCGCTCTCTGTGAAGTCGACTTCATCACCGTCTTTCACCGCTGCTCCCAAAAAATGAACCCCCATTCGTTCCTGCGAGTCGTCGGGAGACACACTGTCCAGACAGTCAATGCCTTGGAAGAACGACTCGCCAATGGAGTCGCGCGGACCCTTGTTCTCGCCCAGGACATCCACCAGCTGGCTGCGATTAATCTGTACGTCGTTGGTTCGCGTGTCTTCGGCGCCTTCGTCATCCTCGCTATAGTACTGGGGGACTTCCGCCCCGTGCGCTCCTCTCTTCAGTGATGTGAGTGGGCTCTCGTCGCGTCCATCGTGGCAGCCTGATGGGGATGCAGAAGAAAGGCTCGCCATCATCATCATCATGGTCGAGGTCGCTGCAAGCCATAGGAGAAGTTGGAGAACCACTGCAATCCGAAGATGACGAAGCGGACAGCTCAAAGAAAAAAACATGGGAAAAGTTTTGGCTGTTAGGAAACGGAGATCAAATGGCACTCACGTGCTGTCACACACAGGCACATCTCACGGCCAGGCGCTGTAAAAACGCACCTTGAAAAGTGACCTGGGATCCGGTATAAGGATATTATTAAGGGACACTAGACACTATAAGCTAAACGTAACAGAGGTGACGGCGATCGTGGCAAAAGATTCAGTATCGGGACAGCAATCACCACGCACGAACTTGCTTGCGCGCGCTGGGACACTCACGAAAGAGGCTGTAGGTGTCTTATAACCTGTGTTTTGTAAGCTTCGCTGCTGTACACAACTCCACAGTCTCCACCAACCAATTAAGTACGAGTGACTGTGCAAGACTGTTTTGTCCCGGACCGTCAACGACTCATCTAACATGTGGGTTTATTGGGCCACAGTCTACTCTCGAAATGTGCAAAACGAGAGTGAATCTTCCGCTAGAAACTGGAGAGCTACACCGCCATATTTTTTGTCTATTGTGCATGTCGAGAGTAGTGGAGCGACACCCTATCTGTGCGTGTTTGTGTCTGTGTGGGTTTTGTTTCTCGTTAGATGTACGGCTTCGGAGAAGGATCCTCGCAACTATAATGGTCTGCAGACGTATTCGTGTGTGTGTGTGTGTGTGTGTGTGTGTGTGTGAGAGAGAGAGAGAGAGAGAGAGAGAGAGAGAGAGAGACGAAATAAGCCCGAGTGCGAAGTGAAGACAAAAGCTGTGTGGGAGGAGGAGAGGACACTGGGGAACAGAGACGATGAGTCTCGCACAGTTTCATCGAATGCGTGGACCAGGATATGAGCAAATGTGCACCAAAAAAAAAAAAAAAGAAAGAAAAATAATTTGCACAATCTGGTGCCGGGCAGGCGGCTGTGCGGCGCCTGCTTCTTTCTTTCTTTCTTTTTTTTTTTTTTTCATTCTATTTGGGGGAGCAGCACATGCTGACTCCGTCGTGTTTTGCAATTTTTTTTATTTTTTTTTTTCGGGAATGTTTTGCAAAATTCCTCACACTGGAACCTTTTGCATTTAGCTGTGAACGTGATTGCGATCAGATGCATCCAGGGGCCAGGTCCCACTAGATGGTGTTTTTTTTTTTTTTTTTTGCTAGATGGTGTTCTTCATTTCGGGCCATGGATCTGTGTATTCCCGCCACAATAGGCGGTCGAGAATGAACAACACACGCCAGTGGGACCTGGCCCCAGGCTTCTTGCCGGAAATTTTAGTCGATACATTCAGGAAAGAGCTCGTGTCAGTATGTCCCCCTTCTGGCCGTTGATCTTTGCTATCTACTCTACGGTCAATATAGGTTATTTATTCGTTTACGCGGGACCTAGCCCCGGCTGAGGGCATCGCCACACCACTCTCGAAATGTGCAAGACGAGAATGAACTTCCTGCTAGAACATGGCCAGGTGCACCCCCCACAATTTTCGGTCTTTTACACATTTCGAGAGTGTTTTTTTTTTTTTTTTTTTTTTTTTTAAGATGAGTCACTGCTTATATTATAACATGATTGAATGAGGCCGGGAATCCCTCAACATCTTGACCCGGAAAGAGAACCATTGCTGGAAACCGGGTCCAGCGTCCCGTGAACCGCCAAGGACTCATCAGAAGAATGAGCAAACTGGACAAAGAGGAAAAAAAAAACAGGAGAAAGATAAGAGATAAAGGAACCAGGAGAGAAGTACGATAACTGCTGAGGTACCTATCTGGGGGCTACAAAGCTCAGACCCTCTCAGTTACACAATAGGTGAACTGTCTAATAAGGCAATATGCTCAAGGTCTGGTAGCATGATGGTCCCAGAGAAGGTCCGAGTAGAAAAGTCTGTGATCCTCAGTGAAATCTGCCCATTGAAAAGGAAAAGCCCATTTTTTGCGAAAAGAGGAAACAGCCACCTCCTTGGAAGGCGATCTGTCCTTCAGTCTGAACCAATCTGCTGTTATGTCCAATCTGAGGGCATGTTTGAACTGTGCAATTAATGCAGGAATGGGGTTGTTAACCCATAAGAACCTTCTGTCTCTTCTGTCTCTTCTGGCTAGCCAAAGTTGCCAGAAGGCTCTCACTCTAAAGATAGTGGACACTATTTCAATCTGATGATTGTGAGAGCCCGAACGAATTCTCCCTGTGACAACCATATTTTTGTCCCAGAAGTCCGCTGTGCCATATGCTTGAAGCCATATTTTATTTAGAAAGTCCCAGAATCCCCTGGCGATCACACACTCCCACCACAGGTGCAGCCAGTCCTCTAAACTAGGATGGGGGCATATGTCACAGGTGTTAGATATTTCCATTCCCTTCTCTGTGCACCACAGCGCCGTGGGGACGCAGGCGTGAAGGTGCAACCATTGTAGACCTCCGACTTTATTCTCTATGGTGGAGAGCAGACTGTGGATAAAGAAAATAAGCCATTTAACAGAGATGGAGGGAAGGTTGAGAGAGGTAGTTTTCTGTTGCCATCTGAGGGAAAGGCCAGCATGCAAGGATTGAGAGTTAGAGAAGAGCTTATAACCAGTCTTGGCAGTGTAATCAGCAATAGGGATTTTAGTAGGGGAGCCTGAGTGGTTGTGGATGACCCAACCGTACTTGCAGACGTCAACTTTCCAGTCTTTGTAAGGAGCCGCATTCATATGGACCTGGAAGGTAGGTGAGTCCCCCCTTTTTTTCTTCTTTTTTTTTTTTTGACAGAAGGAAGCTCCAGTCTATTCGTGGGGAGCAGCACGTGCTGGGAACCGGGCCCAGCATCCCATATGAACATACATCAGTTTGTAACACAGGGGCCATTATCCGGCTTCCGCTGAGAAAACCCCTGCAATGTGCTTTTGTGAGATTTCGAGAGTGTTGTGGCGATGCCCTGAGGCCACCACTCTCCGCGGTGCTTTGCAAGCTTTTGATCAACTTCGGGCCTCGCTGCACTACTCTTGAAATGTGCAAAACGAGAGTGAATCTTCCGCTAGAATACGGAAAGATACACCGCCAAGTTTTTTGTCTTTTGTGCATGTCTAGTGTNCCTGAGGGGAGGCACAGGGATTTTGGTCCTGTTGGCATGGTCCCTGATGCCACCGGCTGTCGCAAGGATTTTTCCGGATTTCCTCACTTTTTCAGCGAACTTTCACAATGATCGCCTTTTTTTCGGCCGTTGATTTTCGGATTGCCTCACTTTTTCATCAGCGATCTTCCACAATGATTGCCTTTTTTTGGGCCGTTGATTTTTTGATTGCCTCACTTTTTCATCAGCGATCTTCCACAATGATTGCCTTTTTCTCTCCCGTCCATTCTCGGATTGCCGCGGTTTTATGGTTGACATCATCGGCCTCCACCGTGGCGCTTCTTTCTTCTGCCCGTCCGTCCACCGTGGCTCTCGTTCCTTCTTCCCCTCCGTCCACGGTGGCTCTCGTTCCTTCTTCCCCTCCGTCCCCTTCGACCCCTCAGTTAGGCTTGCCCCCCTATGGACACAATGAAACCCCGCCCCCATTGGAGAGAGGAGAGCCTGGGGCGTCACTCGCTCAGAATAGCTATGGCATCAAGATCGACGAGAGCAACTTGCGCGCGGAGTCGCTGACCGAGCTGTACCTTCCTGTCCTTGACGAGCACGATAGAGTCTCTCCCGACTTACGGCAGCGGAGGCCTACGTTGCGAAGAGCGCTGCGAGACACAGCAGCTGGAGTCGATAGGTCAACCGAAAGCGGGCTTCGGCGGATTGCAGGCAAGGGTGGAGGGTCGGACCTTCGCGTCCTCGAGGTAAGGGATGATGTCACTGGTCCGTTCCAGTTCTTAGAAACCAGTGTGCTGACGTTTCGAGGCGATTTGCTCTCCGGTACTGTCCTGAAGAATCGCCTTGACAGCAGGAGCGTGAAAGGCGTTCAGCCTTCAATCAAGGATGAATCGATTTTCTTCCTCATGGATCACGAGGAGGTCTGGAGGCTGCATAGTATGAACGCAACAACTCCAGACAGTGCTGGTGGCACCGTCAGTCTCTCCGCCGGTCCCTTCTCCGATACGCGAGCTTTCACGATCGTGGATATGGAGCGGTACGGCGGCCGAGGGCGCTTCCTCGTTCTTGCCGATTCCAGCGGCGACACCACTCTACGGACTTTCAGTGTAGACTCGTCTCAACCTCCTTTCATGGTCCAGAACGTTTCCACCTTCGTCTCTGGCAATGCTATTCTTAGTGTCGCTGCTAATCCTTCACTCGCGTACCTTTACTTCTCGACCAGATACGCCATCATCTCTTCCGGATACGGCACAGTAGTCCGCCTAGTCGATGACTTTGTCGCTTTCCAGTCCGTTCTTGTGAGCCAGCACGCCATCTCTGCCGATGGCCAGCTCATGTACGTGGCCGACTGCAGTGCGAACGCCATTTACCGGGTCCGGATCGCGACGGGACAGGTGGAGACTATCGGGATCGGGGCGGCGGGCTCTGTTCTGATTGACCTGGGGTGCCCCAGCGGATTGGCGTTGACATCCGACGGCTGCAATTTGTTCGTCTCCGAGCTGAACACGGGGAGGATCAGATTGATTAGCTTCGAACGCAGTGCTGGGCACATCAAGAGCACTCGCACCTTAGCAGGAAACAGCAGCTTTGCCTACACAGATGTATCATCCTTAGGTCTTTTCAGTTTGGCCATTTCCCCCGACGGTAGGGATCTGTACTTGGGATCTCAAGACGCGACGATTTACCACTACGAAATAAACCAAGTGTCGTTGCCACCGTGTTCCCTGTCCTCGCCCCTTCCCTCAACTACTTCGCCGCCCTTTTCTTCTTCTATCCCTCCTCCTCCCACTCTCTCTACTCTCTCTACTCTCTCTACTCCTCCACCGCCGGTTCCAGAGTCGACAGGGACCACAGGGGCATCGTCCTCGTCAGACTCGTCACTGCTGGATTCCCATTCAACCCCTGGAGGGCCTGAGGTACCCTCACAATCATGGTCCTCTTCTATCTCTCCTTCCCCTCCATCCGTTCCCTCAAGTGCTTCGACAGTTTCTTCTTCTACCCCTCAAAAATCACTCCCTCTCCCTCCGCCTCCAGCAGTGCCCGTTTCCCAGTCGACAGGGACCACAGGGGCGTCGTTCTCAGCACCGCTGGATTCCCATCCAACCCCTAAAGGGCCTGAGGTCCCATTACAATCCTCTTCGCTGCCATCCGGCGCCGGCGAAGGTGCTGAAGCACATGGACGTACTCCCTCTTTAAGTTGGGGCTCCATCACCAGTCAATCTTCCGTATCAAACTCGTCAGCTTCTGTTGTCATGAACCACGGCTCTGCGGCGGCACCCGCTTCTCAGAGGTCCGGGCACCGCAATACCGCCCGAGACACTGTCTTGGCTGTCCTAGGGTTCGGTGTGGCTGTCATACTATGGTTGTTCGTTTGTATATGCTGTAAAAAGGACTAATTGGTAGTGGCTTTTTTTTTTTTTTTTTTTTCCGGGAATGGGACTAATTTAGTAGGTGTGGCCACGGAGGGAAGGCGCCTTGCACCCAAGCGGTAGTTTTTTTTTTTTTTTTTTTTTTTTTTTTTTGGGGGGGGGGCGCATACTTTTTTTTTTTTTTTTTAAGAATTCATTCTGTGTGATTACCAAGGTAAGAGACCGGGCCCGGGGACCCCACAGTTCAACCCGGAATAACCCGGAATAGAGTCCTCTGGCAGCATTAGCCAGTTTCACTTTTTACGGCACCTGCTAGGAACCGGCAGTCATCAATTGAACGAAAGAAGCTAGCAAAAGGTTTCGACTTAAACTATGCCATTCTGATACAGAAGAACCAGGTGGTAAAGAAGTGTGATGTAATGAGATATCAGAATAGGGGGCTAGGGAGTGAGGGGGGAAAGGGTGTGAATCAGTGGATGGGGTAAACCATTAGGCAGGCAGGGAAAAGGGGCGAGGGGACTCAACCCGGGAGGGGGGAAGAGAGGGGCAGAATGGGCGTCAAGGGTTGGGATCCGGGGGGGGTAGTTGTGGCTAGGAGGGGGAGGGTAAGGGGTTGCTATCCTAAACTATCAAGGTCTATTCTTCCATAAGACTGCTACATTAACCTATAGTTCTAGTCTCCTAAGTCTTACAGGCCTGAAGACGGCCTGGACCCGCCTAGTCACAGCGGGTTGGAGCCTGTACAGCGAATAGGCTCCTGTCCTTATGTGACACTTACCTCCCTCCTCCCCTCAGCTAACCTGCTGATGGCCTACCGCGCCCCGATCCAACCGAGTGCCCTGGTTGATAAAGAAAAGAGAAAGGGGGAGGAGGAGAAATGGAAGATGTACGTGAGAAGCGCTGATAGTGCTCTGTCTGGGGAACCTGCAGCCCCCTGCACCTCCCACATGGCCATGCACAGCAGTCCTAGGTGTAAGGCCAGGGACTGATAACCAGTTTGCCACTGAGTGTTATTGCTGCAAGTTGGTTGTCTCGGGCCCATGTGACTAGGAACCAATGTCTTCCTTTGTGTGTGCGACCTCTGGCTGCCTTCCTGACCCAGTCCACCCTGATCAGAGTCCGGATCCAAGTCTTTATTTTCTTGATGAGCGTGGCATCAGCGGTCCACTGTTCCTTGAAGATGATGTTGTTCCTATCCTCCCAGAGAACCCAAATGATGGTTGCTCGAATGACTTGTGCAACATAGCCTCTACCCTTGCGTTTGAACCAAGACGGCGGTATAATTCCATACATTACCCAGGCCTCATCCCAAGACAGCAGCGTCCCCACAAAGCGATGCCGGTGCCTCTCCCACCATTGCCACACCCGTTTGGATGCTGGGCAGTCCCAGAACGAGTGCGTCAGCGTTTCCTCTTGGATCCTTCCGCATCTTCTGCACTTCGTTTGAAGCTCCATGCCCCTTTCGAAGAGCCATTCCACACATGGGATGGCTGAATGCGAGAGGAGCCAAAGAACCCCGGCCATCTTCTGCGAGGGGAGGTCCAGAAGCTGATCCCAGAGCTTGCGTAGGTCATGACTGGTCACTGGTTGATTGCAGGAGGGGCGCCTGCTGAGGGCTGCTGCAGCCGCGGTTGGACGAGCGCTCTACTTCGAGAGCTGTCCTCTGCCAAGGGCTGATGTGTATTGGTGCAGTGAGATTTTGGTGTCTGACTGGGTTTTCCATGACCAAGCCAATGGGTCGAGGTGCAGATCTCTGAGAGGGGAGCCGTTAAGGAGAAGGTCACAGTGGGTAACCCCTCGCTTCGTGACTCGATGTACCCGGATCTGCTGGAGATCTGGTCCCTCCTTCAAGGCGACCTCCCCCTGCAGTGTGGCTTGGGCACTGTTGGAGTGTCCATGCCTGAGCAACCCACATGTCATCGTCCAATTGCTGTGTGAGATAGTATGCTGTGATCTGCTCCTCGCGTTGATTACTACGGTACCACTTGCCTGTTACCAGGTTAGGGGCCAGTAGTATCTGCTTCCACTCCGGGGGTATTGCCTCTTGGATATGCAAGCTTCTCGCTTGAATGAGTTGCAGCCTTCCAAGTTTCGCCTTGAGCTGTTGCTCCGTTAACCATTCTCCATCCTCCTCACTCCAAAGGTCTCCCAGCTTGACCACTCCCCGCTCCACCCATCTCCGCCCGAAGTTGCCTGTAGCCGCTGATGCTGCAAAGGGTCTGCCCTGCGAGTCCAAAATCAGGAGATTATCAAAGATTTTTTGTCTAAGAACTTCCTCAGTCACATACTTTTCCTGTTCTTGTGGGAGAAGGGTTCGCCATGCAGACCAACATGCTCTGACAACTGGTGAACGAGGATGCCGCCGCATGTAGGAACTCATAAATAGACAAGGCCACACATCCTCCTTCCTGCTGAGCCCTAACTCTTGTTGTAACAGGTACTCTAGCACCTTCAGCCAGCCTCTACGCTCCGCTTGGGTTGCCACCCTCATAACCATTTTGTTAGAAGTGCAAAATTCTGCTGTTTTGGGTCAATAATGGCCAGTCCACCTTCTTGTCTGTTGCTTGTCACCTTGACCCAGGAACATTTCGTAATGTACCCTTGCCCTTCCTGTGAAGTCGGCTTCCATAAAGAGCGTGCAGCATCCGCTGTCAGAAGTTTGAGGATCTCCTTGGAGAGAAGGCAGACGGCTGCAAAGAACCATACTTGTGCAAAGACTACCGCATTGATGAGCAGGGCTCGTCCCATTAGTGAGGTGCCAACTGCCGTGCGGCAGCGCTGCAAACTGGCTTGAACTTTAGCTTGCAAGATAGCCTGCTGCCTTGGCTTGGCGTTCTATAGCGAGACTTGAACCCCCAGATATCGTTCTGAAATGTCTGGGGGGATACGCTTCATCCCCCAGTCTTGGCCTGTCAAGCTGAACTCAGACGGGAGAAAGTAAACAGACTTACTCCAGTTAACTTGAGCCTCGGACACCACACAGTATGCGTCAAGAAGGGTCTTAGCCTCCCCCATGGATTCCATGGTTGCTTCCATGACCAGCAGCAAGTCGTCGGCTATCGCCCCCGTCAGCAGAACATCAGATTCCCCTAAAGTAAGTCCTTGGATGCGTGGGGAAGCTCGAAATGCATTGAGGAGGATTTCCATTTGCACTGCGAAGAGCAGGGAGGCGAGCAGGCAGCCCTGGCTCAATGAACGCGTCAGCGAAAAGGTATGTGATAAGAAGCCATTCACGCTGACTGTCGCTGTTGAATCGCCATAGAGTTCTCTGACCCAGGTTCAAAACTTAGGTCCGAAGCCCATGTGCTGCAGCGTGGCCAGGACGAAAGACCAGTTGACTCGGTCATAGGCTTTCTCAAGGTCCAGCATTGCCGCTATAACTTGCCTCTTCTCCCTTTGTATCACCTCCAACGCCCTGACAGCCATCAGGATATTTTCAGCAATTGATCTCCCTTGAATGAACGCTCCCTGGTCTGTGTGCACCAGGTTAGGCAAGAGGGGGGCTAGCCTTCTCGCAAGCACCTTGGCCAGGATCTTGTAGGACACATTGAGCCTAGAGATCGGTCTCCAGTTGCGGATGTTTGACTTCTCGTTCTTCTTGTAGATAAGCGTGATGATGCCCAATTTCATATCCTCTGTTAGGACGGCGCCATCTGGAACCTGGTTGTAGAAGCTCAAAAGATCCGGCCCAATGTGTTCCCATGCCGCATCATAGAACTCGACGGGCAGTCCGTCTGATCTTGGACTTTTCCCTCTGGCCATGCACTTGACTGCCTGCTGGAGCTCCTCCGCTGTCAGAGGCTGGTCAAGTGTGTCTGCTGCCTCTTGGGTCAGATGAGCATGTGTATGTTGCCAAAGGTCCTGTTCCTCCCGCACCTGCTGTAAGGACATGTCTGGTTGGCGGCACGAGGTAAAAATGTCTCTGAAGTACTCCAGGCATACTCCCCGATTGTCTCTGAGTCAGTTGCAGGTGGGGCCTCAACATGGAAGGGGTGCTGCAATTCTCTCATCAGCGAATGCTGTCGCTAGGGACACAGGCGTTGAAATGTTTCTTTAGTTAGCCGGTCTGCCGTCCGGATGCCTCTTTCCTGAGCCATTTTGGCCCAAATGATCTGCTTCTCCACTTCAAGATCCTCCAGTCTTTGTAACCACCTGTCCCGCCTGCGCTGCCAGTAAAGCTCAGCAATTGGTCCCTTCGCCAGTTCCTCTTTCGCCTCCTCTACCATTCTTCTGCATTCTTCCTCCTGTTGCCTTCTGCCCCTGGCGTGCATTCTGGAGAAGACGTCATGGCTCTTGTAACTACCCTCAATCCCATTTGCAACCAATCACCCTCCTCATCAAAGTGGTCCTTGGTGTGTTGCCAGTCTCTCCAATGCATTGCAATCCATTCGGTGACACCGGGCTTGCTGAGCAAATTGGTGTTCAACCGAAAGGTACCTGGGCCCCTCACCAGCTGATCCGACAACGTGAAGCTAGCCACTAAAGGTCGATGGTCTGACAAGAACTCGATTGGACAGTCAACTGAAGTAAGGGATTCCCAAGGGGAGCCCTTTTCCAGAATTAAATCCAACTGCCTCTTTGGTGGAATACTGTCGTCGGACGTCTGGGACGAGAACCAGGTATACCCTGGTGTTGTCGGATGTGTCGTGCGGTAAGTGTCCGTCAGACCCTGTTCAGCCATCAACGCAGCCAGCATCAGTGTGTCAGCCTTTGGTGGCGCAAAGTTTGGAGAGTCCAGGTCTGGTGCAAGAGTAACATTGGAGTCACCGGCAAGGAGGAGGTTATCCGCCTTTGGGAGAATTGTTGGTAGGTCCTCGAGAAAGGAGCGTCTCTCCGTTCTCTCTGCTGGGGCATATACCGTCATCACAGTCCATGTCTCTGCTCCGAGACCCAACTGTACCCAAATCCAGTGTCCTCATACATCAAGGTCATAAGCTAATATTTATGTCTCCAAGTTCCGATGCATTAGGATCGCACATCCCCCCCTTGTGTCATCTGCGGGTGCCCATATTTGGGGACCCGTCCACCAACTCCGGGCCTGCTGAATCTTGTCCTCATTGAGCTTGGTTTCCTGCAGCAGCAGGATTTGCACCTTCTGGTCGTGCAACCAAGTTTTGAGTCTGGACCTTTTCTGTCTGTCAGACGTATTCCCCAGCCCGCGAATGTTCCACGTGGCAATTTTAAGGCCTGACATTACTTGGGTCTTGGGCGGCTTGAGGTTGGATCCGCGCGTCTTCATCGGCGTGTTGTTGTCTTGCAGGTTTGTGTCTTCTGGTGACTTCAGATTCCCCAGGAGTGCTCCAAGGTGCCATGAGGAGTGTCCGGAAGCCTGCTGAGTGTGGTTGTTTGTCTACAGCCAAGGTGTTGCAGAATTTCACTACTAGTTTCGCATTCATGTCGTCTGTAAGATATGTTTCCTGCAGCTCCTCGGTTGCTGTAGAGGCTAACCAACTGGATGGTAGCCAGACAATACCTTGAGTGGCCAGCATGGTTGCTGTCTCCAAAGCCACTTTAACATCGAGTACGGCGATGGAGAAGTGTCAGCTGCCTCCTGTAGCCGTTGTTGTTGTCTTCCTTCCAATTCGGATGCCCGGCACCATTCGAAAAGGGAAGCGGTCCGCGATAAAAGTTGCTGCAACCGCCCTTATTGCCTCCTTAGTCGTTGGTGGCTGACTTACCGGAGCTGTTGGGATGGCTAGAACCCCCTTGTCGGTACGCCACGCCATGAATTTTGTGCCCTGTGGCGACAGCATGAAACACAAAATGATTAACTGGTGTCTGATGGCCGCCATCTGTTGCCTGCTGCTGGAGGGATGAGCTGCAGTTGAGGATGGACCCGGTGGCCCAATCGTGGCTGAGGACAGGGGGCTGGAGACCTGGATTGCGTAAAAGTCAACTTTCTCCTCCTCTTCCTCCTGGGTCGTATGCCCATCCCCCTCTGCATTGATCCTCCGCTGCTTGATGGCGGTTTGAAGCATTTGCCTAGGGTCTCGCATTGCTGTGTCCTCTGGCGGCGGGTCCAGGGTGCCTGTACTGTGCTGCATAGCCTGTTGGGGGTGCTGAGACCCAGGGTCTGGTTGGGTGGTACTTGTGCTAGTAGGGACTAAGAGGGCAGAGGATGAGTGGACGAAGGCCGGATTGTTGTACGAGGTGTAGTGTTGAAGCATAGGGGTCAGATGGGTGCTTGCGGTGATGAAGTGTGTTGTCGATTGTTGCGGCGGTGGGGCGGTGTGGG